TTCAAAGAGGGCTCCTTGATTGGTTGTTGCCTATCTGGACTTTGCCTTGTGTGTGTGAAATATGTGATAAAGTGCAGGTTGTTTACAAGGAATTAACATGTGATTGGGTTAATTCCAAGGTAGCTAAAAGAAAACTTTATTTGTAGAAAAGATAAAACGCATGATAATGCAAGGAAAATTTCCTATCAGTAGCATTAAGTTTCATGTGAATTTTTTTCAGTGATGTTGGATAATGTGGTTAGATTACTTGATAAAATGTGGGTTGTTTACAGGAAAATGTCATGTGATGGAGCAAAGTCTAATGTAGAATACAATTCAAGCACATTGAAATTGCCTGATATTCATGTCATGCAAATGATTGAGTATGTTCTGATTGAACTTTGAACGTTTTTTTTATGGTATGTGATGGAATGTTAGTTTTTGGGCCTGTACATTGTGAGAAAAGGAGCAGAAAAAACACATTTTAACTTAAAATTAATACAATGAAAATAAATGTGAATCTTTCATATCCCAATAAATCTTGACCTTACTTGATGAGGCTCTTACAAAGGCCACAATCATAACACTTATCAAATGAGCCCAAAATTTCTGGTTAAAGTCATTCTTTGTGCACTGAGCCCCATGATTCCATGACATCATTTATGAGAAAACAATACCCAAATGCTGTGATTGGTCTGTGATATCCAAATGCTGTAATATGATTGGTGCGAGATAATACACTTATGCAGAAATCTGATTGGTGCAAGATACAAACCCTTATGCAGCAATCTGATTGGTGCAAGATACAAACCCTGATGTGGCGATCTGATTGGTGTGATACAAACCATAATGTGACAATCTGATTAGTGCAAGATACAAACCCAAATGTGACAAAATGATTGGTGCAAGATACAAACCCTAATGTGACAATCTGATAGGTACAAGCAACATACCACTCTACAAGCTAACATAGAGTTTTTCTTTTTAATTAAAAAAAATAACTCAAAAAATGTTCTGACTTACTGTTGAATTTCACTGAGAATGTTAAATTAGCAGCCATCCAGTACTGAGTCACTGTATTTGTTGTTGTGTCTTTAGAAAATTTCTCAAAGTGCATGGTGAAGCTACAATCGTGACTGTGAGTGCTCCAGCTTAATTTGATGAAAGGGTGATCTTTGCTTCTGGTGTCACATTCACCACTTGACTTGGCATTTTTTGGAAGCTCAAAGGTTAATTTCTGGAAGAGTAAAGAGAAATCCAAAGACAGGTTTAAGTATATGAATCTTAAAAAAACTTCACGCACCAGCTATGTGGCTGTTTCTTGGTTTCCATAGCATAAAAACAACAACTACGATTGCTTACCCTTTATGAGATGCTACTCCTGAGAAGGTTGCCTCTCTGTATTTTGTCAATTTTCCATTATGATTTAAATTTAGGCTCTCTTTGTTTTTGGGTGAGTACATAGCTTTAGGCTACATGGAAATTTTTAAGGTCTGAAAATTAGCTGATTTGTTGTCTTCTCACAAATTCTTAGGGCATATACCTAAGGATCCAAAGGAAACTTGACAATTCACTTTACTTTACACCTCCTTTTGGCTTCTGCACAATCATTGAGAATGGTACTTACCTTTGAACTGGTTGTGACATCAAATTTTGCTGCCATATAAGCAAACAAACAGACTGTACCATTGTATTTCACTGTAAAGTTGCCTGGTGCTGGTGGGAGTGAGGTAGGTGTGGGATGCACAGTAGATGATGGTAACACAGTGGACACAGGGGTTGGTCTGATTGATCCAGTACTAGGTGGCATTACACTGCTGTTAAGTACTGCTGTGGTCATGTGTGAAGGTGTGATAGTCATGTTCTGAGGTGTAACAGTTCCATTAAATGAAGCTGTGACAGTCAAGTTACCAGGTTTGCTAGTCTTACTGGGAGAAGGTAAAACAGAGGAAGATGATGATGTAACGGCCATCTTGGTAGAAGTCACAGTTATGCTTGGAGCGGGAATGGAGGTCTTTCTTTCAAATGAGTGTGTGACAACTGAGCTCTGAACAAGATTGGATGCTGAGGTTAGACTACCTGTAGCTCCAACAAACATCCAATGACAAAGGACTGAAAATTTTAAAAAATACATAAAAAACAAATACAGGAAGAAAGACAGAGAGAAAAAAGAAAGATCAAACTAATTTTATTGGAAATTAATGGTATCTTATTTCTAGACCAGCTACAACTCATTATATAATATGGGATACATCTTTCAGTATCATACCCACCCGATTATAAGGACAAAGATATCATTAAAGTCCTACATACTTCAAACCCAACAAAGTTTTTGTTATTCGTTATATTGCATGTTAATGAGAAACTCACTGATCTGATGAAGGAGTCTCAGAACCTTTGCAATAGGCTATATTATTGTCTCTGGGTATGTCAGTTCCCTAACTCTCAAACTTCCAGTTCTCCTTCTTGGACTGATTGGGAACTCTTACATTATACAAAAATTATGCTTCTTTCAATCAACATGCCGCAAGTCTCTCTTTTGCAATATGTATGGATTCAAAAACCTTTTCACTGAAAATCAGTTTTCCCCATGTGCAAGTAAACCTCATTTTCATTGGGAAGCATATGCACCTCCCTCAAAGAAAAAGTGATGGTCATAAAGACTAAAACAATATCTCATCATTGGTCATTAATCACCATTTTGATACCTTCAAACTCTTGTATTGAAGCATAGTAATTGGTTCAAAGTTCGTATCATGTTGTTGTATAGTTAATTTTGCAATCAGCTAACTTAACAACTCATCATAAACCCCTTGCATAATATACTTACAAGTACGAAATTAAATAAAAATTAGATTCGTGTTAAGATACCACTGCTTATTGCAGTTCAGTGAAGGTTTACCGCAAAATACAATGGTACTTTATTCTAACAAATAATAATGAGGTTAGCACAATGGGGATCGCATATTAAAGCCTGCTTTCGATTCCAAACTCGATGGCAATCCAAGGAAGTAAAGCTACAGGATCCAAAATTAATATCGATCAACCAGGCATTATTTTAAAAAGTGAAAGAAAGTTAGTTCTAGCACGTTTCTGCGACTGCAAGACGACGTTTCAGGGTAAAATTTCCGCACAGCCCCATATCACATTTTGCATTCAGTTTTTAGACAGAGAAAACAATAACGAAAACAATACATTACGATTGGCAAAACAGATTTGTTTTACAATAGTATGAGACTGTGCGGAAATTTTACCCGTTTCAGCTGTAATATCAGTCGTCTTCCACTGTTCCGCGTCGGTTGTGAAACCTCGCCTCAGCAGAGCTCTAATTATCGAGCATCGATCCTAACGCCTTAAAAAAAAAACTTATCGGCAGAGAGATAATTTTACCTGAATAGTGGACACAAGCAGCAAACAAACAATAAAGGTAAGCCATGATGATAACCGAAATACGCATTAGCTAGTTATCCGTGGAGAATTCCAGACATTGAAAGTTGTAGCAATCGCAGAGTATGACGTTTACATCACGTGTCACGGCCCATAGAATGCGAGCGCGAGCCGGCGATTACAGAGACTTTTTCCAGGATTGAAAATTCACTTTGTCGTGGACGTGCAATTCCCCCAAAATATAATTTGCCACGACAGCTTGATTTGGCCAGAACTACTAGACTCCTAAGGTTTATGTAGTTTAGAGATAAATGGTTCTTCTGCTATAGCTGGGAAAATTAATTCGACTCAAAATGGTATAACGAAATTTAGCATCAGTTGTAGGCAATTAACGTCATCAAGTAGATTTCTAGTTAATCTGTGTTACTCCACACTCCACCCACGCTACAGACAATTTGTCTTAAATTCCAGAGTCAGGTATGTCCAATTTTCTTAGCCCAATTTTCAATCTGTGCACCCAGATTGTTAAAAAAAAAATTTAAATTTAAAAAAAACTTTTCCCAAGGCGAGCTATTCCGTCAAATTTAACTTCACAGGGCACTATTTGAGGGCAGCCAAGAATGACGGACTTGCCGAAATTAAACATGCCGCCAAGTTGTAACCAACAGCTTTCAAGTGAGATTCAAACATGAAATCTCTATGTAAAGTGAATTTGTTTCCCTACATCAAAAAAAGTGTCAAAAGGAAAAAGGTAGAGCAAACAAATAAGACAAGGAAGTGAATGGTTCCTGTCAATTCTATCTAATGACTTAGGAGCTTCCCATTTGGCAGAGCGCCTTTGTGAACCTCTTGCTTGGTTCAAACAAATGGAGCAATCATGTGCATGCCATTAGTTCAACCCACAGAGCAGCCTTATCAACCTCTGAGGAAATGAATATGCCAACTACTTTTTTGCTTCAAGAACTGCTGTTATACATGTTTGTTAATACAAATCCTTTTTATAATAATCCGCACATGCAAATAGATTTAAGTAAATTTTTATTCAAAACATCTACAAACCATGCATGTATCAAAAACAGGATGGGCACCAGCCAATGCAAGTTTGCTTGGCAAGGGAAAAGAAAAAAAGGAGGGGTGAGGAGCACCAGCATCACATTGTCTACCTACTGGTCACAATTTTTGGTTTTTTGCATCAAAGGAATATGCAAAGGAAAGGAACTTCTCCATTTTCTCCTCTTAATCCCCTCTTTCCTTCTCTCCCTCCTTCTCCAAATCATCCTTCCACTGCCTGATACAAAAGGCTAAATAACACACACTCTAAACTATGTCTATTATTGTCAAAAAAGGACTTCCAATTAAAATGTCTTTACGGTATACAATTTTCTCTTTAACAACAAATATCAGATGCAAGGAATCTCTAATCGCTAACATAAATTGAGGGTATCAAAAAGGCCATCCACAACAATATCAGGAAGTATGGTTGCTGCTCTTTTCCATGCAATACTCAAATCTATGGCCACATTTACTTCTAAGTTGAGTCAAATAAAACATCAAGATTTTAAGAAAGAAGGACTGTACCACAATAAATTGGATTTAGCTTGTTATAATCAGAAATTTAAAAAAAATGTAATTAGTGAACTGGCAATCTTTTATTTGATTCATTTTATTTTGTGTGCTCCTTCTACTAATTCCTTGTACTGACCAGTTGTAGCTTCAACTCTAGTACATACATGTATCTGTTACAGAAGGGAAAAAAAAAAAAAAAAAGGAAAAAGTTCCCAAAAGTATGATGTTACCAAAGTAGGAAATTGTACTGACAGGAATGAAAAGTCAATTTCTGCAAGATGATTTTTGTCCCAGAGAGCTTAACAGCAAGAAGAATTTAAAATCAGGTTCACACAAAAGATGAGACAGAAAGTGTCCAAAAAGAAGCACAACAAAATGACCACACTAACACATGGCTATCAACAGGTATATTTTATCATTGTGATCATTGTCTGGTGCAAGCTTGTTCCCCTTAGATCTTTCACTAGACCTTCTCATATCCACGGTGACTCTTGCGGCGGCCGATGACATAAGCAATCAGTACAATGAGCACCAGACCAGCCAAGGCACAGCCCACTGCTATTGGAACAATGTCACTGTCTTTGCTCTCAGGAGAAGGTGTTGTGGGATGGTCCTGGTAGCAATCTTTACCTAAATAGGAAAAGTTGGGCTCTACTTCTATTCCAGAAAGTTATACAATTAACACATTTGTTATCAGCACTACAGTGTGAAAATTAAGTGGCCATCTCTGTAAGAGCAGTTCAGAGCATTTTGCATCGTAAAAAAGGTTTGCCTCAAACTTTGCCCATTAATTATCTTTGGAAGTAAAGAAAACCCCAATTATTAAGAGCTCTTAATGATCAAAGCTGCAAAAGGCCCTTTTATGACCTCTAGTGACATAGAAAACTTCAAAAGCTGACAAGCTCACCCCTCATAACAAACTGCATGCAGCAAGAAATCATTTGTATTCCTAAATTTTGTGATATTACAGGGGTTTGGAAAATATTTCAATTTTGATGTGTTTATTCAGAGGTTTGCTACAATTTATTTAAAAAAAACCCATTAGACAGCTTTCTGAAATTGGTCAAAAGTACTCTTTCTTTCTTGGGTGCTATTTCTCAAGTCCAGACTGGACCATTAGAAACTCCAGTTTATTTCCTCTAATAAGCTGTTAGAAAGCATAGAAATGTAAAATCGTCTTGCGCTTATTAATTCCCTTCACTGTAGTGACAGCAGAATTATGCAATTTAGTATGTTGAGCTTGATTCTTGAGCACTCTCAATAATGGTGGTTTTATTTACTTCCTACCAAAGGTAGTTCAATAGGCAAAGTTTGAGGCAAAACTTTTTTCTGGTGCAAAATGCCCTGAACCTTGCTAACAGAAATTGCCACCTAATAAGAAAATACAACCCTCTGTGACCCACCAGATCAATACCACAGAATCACCCAAATTTTTGTGTTTACATGTTAAGGAAATGTACAAATTCCCACAAGAGAAAACATTCCTTCATGACTGAAATGAGTCTCTACATTATAATGCCAACATACCATCCAGAAGTCTCAGATGCAACCATTTCGGTTGCCATAGTATAAGTGATAAAAATTGGCAAATTAAAGAGTAAAAGGAGCAAGCTGTAATGGGCACAGTGTTTTCTATGTATCAAGTTGAAAAGAGATAACCATTAAAAAATAAGACAAAAAATTATTGCAGTCTCTCATTTCTCAGTTGTGGGCTTTGAAGTCCTACGATGGCCTCCGAGCATTAAAAACAATTTCTGGCCACTGAATACTACAATTTAATTTCTGACGACCATTTTTTAATTTTCAGGTGTCAAATGGCAACTTTGAAAACTTTGAGCATAGTTCTCTCCTTGAGAGTAGATCTTGAGGGCTGTTGGCTGTTGTTGACAACTTTGACTGGCAAATAGCCCCAATCACTCATTTATAATTTCATTTCCAAATTTATCAGTGGCTTATTGGTTAGAAGGGGTAAAAACTTCAATACAAACCTGATCCAAAGTCTGTCTCCCTACTTTTCTCGACAAATGGTTCAACCTTCCAATCCGTGAAATCTGCTTGGACTTGGTTGTCTTTGCTCTTTGCCTTAAGAGTGAACTTTGTGTCTTTTTTGCAGTAGTAGTAGCTACCATTTGTACCATGAATACTATTATTTTGGAACAGTGTGTACGAGGCATTAACCACACTCACTGCAAAAAAGAAAAAAGAGAGCCATTAGTCACAAAATCACATAACATAATATTCAACACTCACAATTATTCATATTCTTCCATAAGGGAAAACTTCCAAGTGTGTTTCCTATTTTTTCTCTTTCTTATCATACCTTCTTATCAGCATTCTAACTTATTAACTACTTCTATGATGGGTTTCCTCTAAAAACTGAGGGGGATGAGCCAAATCACTCATGAAATCATTAAGTAATCATATCACATGTTAAGGCATCTTTACTCTTCTTAACAATTATCTCCGTATTTGAGAGAATCCAGACATTTACATGCTAGGTTGAAGAATCATTAATTGACAGTATTGTATTTCAACAAAAACAGTACATTACACTGTTTTTAACCTTTTGTATTCTTATTTTGATAACATAGATTTAGCTTTCATTGCCCATCAACAATAATTAACTCTTGCCGTCTTAATAACAATCTTGATTCCAATTCAAACATTTGCTGAATTTTAATGATAACATTGATAATAATAACAACATTATTAATGATAGGTAATAATTAATCGCTGAAGTAAAAGTACATATCCACCACTTACACTCATGCCAAGGTGAATAAATTGTTTCAGAACATACCATGCAGAAACCTTAAATTAGTTATTTCTGACAATTCAGAGAAAAATAGTAGGCCCTCCACCTTTTTTGATGGATGGTACTTGCTAATCTAGCAATTAAATAACAAAAATGGCATGTGTCAAAAACACTATTCACCTAGGTGGTATATAAAATGACATGTGTCAAAAACACTATTCACCTAGGTGGTATATAAAATGGCATGTGTCAAAAATGCTACTCACCTAGGTGGTATATAAAATGACATGTGTCAAAAACACTATTCACCTAAGTGGTATATACTAATTGGAAATATTCAATTGGGGAAAATTCTTCAGTCACTCAACATTTAACACTGCATCTGCTGGGTTTTATTAGCACTTGAATAGTTATTACTATCATCATAACTTTTTGGTATTTTTATTACTATATCTCCATTATATTTATTATCATTAATAAGATTACCATTATCATGTCCCCTATTAAATCATCAAAATCAATATTACAACCTGTGGCATTCGGGAATTCTGGGTTGTCTGTGAGGTTGGCCAGGAAAGACACACGGCTCAACCACCAGGTGAAAGAACTGTCACCACTTGCTTGCAATTTTTTTGGACGGCCAAATTCAATTGACAAAGTGTAATGTGGTCTTGTTTTGTTCCATGTTAGAATCAGCATCCCACAGCTTCCTGCAACATTCACCTTTGCATTACTGTCAAGGACAACAGTGCCTTGCTGAAAAACAAAAACCAACACAATAGATAATAGTTATATAGGCTTCAGAACAACTGCTAGTGGTCATTTCCTACCTTTAAACACAAAACCAATGTACATGTATTGATAATAATTATAGTGATGATGATAATAATGATAAAAATAATGAATCACGAGGTTGGCAGAGTATTATGGGTTTTTGAGTAGCAAGCGGATCATTAATTTTCCTTCCTGAAGCTAAAACCCAAGAATCATAGTATTGATCCACAGGACATTGAAATACTGCAATAATTGCAATAACTCATTTCAATAATTGTTTTACCACTCAAGTGAATTACACTCCAACATCTCCAGGAAGTAACTACTGAAGTAACTAATGATTAAGGATATAACCATGCACAGGTACAAAAGTATTTGTTGAAGCCTGGGCTCTCAGCCAATGAGAAGAAAGGAAAAAATACATTGAACCATGATACAGATTTGATGTTATAACTAAAAAGGTACTCAAAGTTAGTTGAGATTATAGGCAAGGTGCCTTCCCATTTTAGCATTGATTTGATATTTTCCGCTTAGTTGTAGCCTTTCTACTGAAATAACTTGCGTGGGGATAAAACTTTTATTCAGTCTTGAGTACCACAAAAAAAGTTTCTTTGGCTTTAGCATCAACAGGAGAAATCCAAGAATACTCCAACAAGAATAACACTGTACTGGTTAATGTTATGGAAAATTTCACACCATTAAAATCCAAGGAAAACAATTGATTGCTACACACACCTTGGCCTTTGTCTTTGATTTGTTTCCTTCCTTAACATATTGCATATAATTGATGGTAAATTTTGCCTCAAACTGAGCCAGCAAGCAATATTTATCGCCATTTTTTATAAAATAAGTGCCATATGGGGGACGAGTGGTTGTTTGCTTGGTTGGCACTGGTGTTGTTGTTGCATTTGTTGTCACTATTGGTGTTGTTGTTGCATTTGTTGTCACTATTGGTGTTGTTGCATTTGTTGTATTTGTTGTCACTGGTAGTGTTGTTGTATTTGTTGTCACTGGTAGTG